TCGATTCGATAGTTTTTATTTTGAATAATATTCGTCGAATATTACGATGACGAAATATCTAAAAGTCGACATTCTCCGCGAAATGAAACGAGCCGTACGAGACATTCTCGATTGTGCCAGGTCACACCGTGACATTCCAACTCGACAATTATATCTCGATAGAAAAGAATACACGGCGAGACACGGTGTCGGGAGTAAGGGCCAACCGCGACTCAAGACTCGTACCACCTTGTATAACTCCGTCGGGTGAAATAATAGTTCGGGCTGGATGCCACACCCAGTATTGTGTTCACTCATACTCATGCCCTCCGCCTTATGCTCTTGCTTTGGCATTTTACGTAGGTATACATATCGATGATATACATGTTCCAGAGACTCGGACACAACGCGATACACAGACAAGCGCGCCGGTCAAGTGTACAAAAGGGTGCGTGTATACAGGGTGTGAGAGTGAAAAAATAAATCTGTAATAAAAATTCTTTCAAAAAATCCAGTCAAAGAAACATTAATTAACCGTAACTTTTTTAAGAGAAAATGAAGAAAACTGCGATCATTCGAATTATTAAATAATGGACAATTGAAAAATTAAACATTTAAAATTTTAACTGGAAAAGTGTACTAGTATGTATACAAAAAATTTGTAACAAAAAAAATATATTTAAGATTATATATCATATTAATTAACTATCGTACTTTTTTTTTAAATTATAGATTCATATCTTTCATAATTAATGTCAATATCAATATCAGTATCAGTATCAGTAAATATTTTCTTGATTAGCTCAATAACAAATTATCCAAAAGATAATATTCAAAATTAAACGATCAAACAAATGTTATTTCATATTTTTTATTTATTTCACACCCTGTATAAGCATACAAAGACGACGTAGACACAGGGAAAGAGTCGTGGCTGGGTCTCCAAGATAGCGAGATAGGTACGAATGCCGAGAGAAAGAGACAAAGAAAGAAAGAAGAGGAAAGGGAGAAGGAATGGAGGAGGGGTTGGTTTGGAAGAAAGGTGGGGTCGTGGGATGAACGAAAAGGGGGTTGGATGATGGCGGTAGTTCTCCGTTCGTTCACGTTCGCTTCCACGTCCCTGCAGACGTGCCACCACGTTGATCTACGATTCCCTCGCGCATAGCGGGCCGCATAACTCTCGTCTTATACCTTTGCTGAGATCTGTACGACGATATTACCTTATCCGTGCGTTCGAACCCGCGACCCAGTCGGAAAATACTCGCGAAACAAAGAAAACGTTGCGGAGGAGAGAAAGATTATCTCGTTTTCGGGGTGGTGTTTCGAGGGATGTACTTGGCAAACTGGATCGTTTATTCCGGATGAGATATTCTTGCGTGAATTTCAAATAGGATAATATTCTCAATTTATAGTTAATAAATATGAGAGTAGAGGAAGGGGGTCGTTGACTGAATTTCGAGAGGGTGCATAAAGTGTCGCGTATTCTTATTCCAAGATAGACATGTTTGTTTTACGACTTTGATGTGGGAGAAAGTCGATAATAATACTGTGAAAAATACGGAGGAAAAGTTTACAACAGAATCAATATTATGATATGCAATAAATTATATATTATACATAAATGATTCATCATTCGTCACACAAATTGAAATTATATGAAATCTCAATACACATTAGTATAAACATCGATAAAATAACGATGCCACAAATTTTATATTCAATGTTAATGAAATAATTATTTTAAAAAATAGATCAATAAAAAATAGAAATTCTCTATTTCGAAATTAAATTATTATATATTAAAAATATTATTAACAACACAACAAAAGTTACGTCACCAATTGTAGATTATATAATGAAGTATGACGGTGAATTATAAAGAATAAAAAAAAAAAGTCTAAAAGGTATAAATTCTATTATGACCCTCCGGTGCAGTCTGAAGCATGGTATTACTAAACAACGTTGTCTCTGGACGGAAGCCTTTAAAAGAACAGAAGAATAAGGGAAACGAAGAAAGAGATATATATATATATATATATATTTTGTGGAAGAGATAGCGGCGTGCGAAGGGAAAGGAGAAGGCCGTGGAGCAGGAGAGGGGGAGAAGGAAGAGGAAAGCGGTCCGCCCCTTTCCTTGCGCTCGATTCGGGGTTTCAGCTCGTGCAAGCGGTTAACGCAGCCATTTCACGCCTCGGAAAGCATCCAGTTTCCTCATCCAAATTCTAACCGAATTCACGGAAACCTCTCCACAAGCTACGAGGATTTCTATTTAGCGCGGGATGAGAGACAATTGAGAGAAATCGAGATGCTTCTTACCCGACCGTTGCGAATTAATCCCTTCACTTTTCCAATGATTCTAAAGATCGTGAAAACACGTTTTAAAAGAAAATGGAGACTGGTTTTATGAACTAAGATGAAGTAAGAAGTTTCTCCAAGAAAAAGATACAAGAGAAAAAATACAAAACGAATAAATTACAAGAAGATTATACATTTTTAAATACGTATTTTTTATATATATATTTTTGTTTGTATAATTTACATGTTTTATATATATATGTTAAATCTCATCTGATTTTTTTATATGATAAATAGGTAATTAAATAAATAAATTTTCGTAAACAAATACGATACTGAAGCAAATTCAAATATTTTTCAAATTCATTAATTTTTTCAGATAGATAATATTAATTTATTTGAAAAAATTATATTCTAATGCAATTTATTATTTCTGATATTTTATAAATCTATTAGTATTTAATATTAATATATATATGTATTTTACATTAATTAAATGTTTTAATATTTTAGTTGCACGAAAATTCAAAATTTATCGACACTAATGGTAACATTAATGGGGCAAAGGAATAGCTTGGTAATCGAAATGCTTCCATCACATAGCCCATCGACTCGAACCCTCCGTCAATGCAATCTTCGTATCAATCCCATTTAATCCTTCGTCAGTCGTCTATCAGACTATGGTTATCCCTTAAAACTGCGATTCTTTATGGAATTAACCGGCAATTAACGATCGGAACGATTCGGTTTTTGACCCTTCATTACCAGGAGTGAGGATAGGGGGCGACACGATCGTTTTCATCACGCATCGGAGAATCGCACGGGATCCCGCGTCGGGGACTCGCAATCAAGGGAATATTCCCATTGAATCGACGCGTATGCACGTTGTCTGATATCGATGCAACGCATCTATTCCACGGAGAGTTTCCATATAGATTTCGACTTATGGTGGGTGGCGATGATACACCACACCGTCGAAATTTTTACGGTTCCCCC